CTTGAACTTTGTTATCTTCCTTCTCGCTCCTCCTGTCCCGTGATCCAGGAATCGAGTTCCGACCATCGAACTGCGGATACGTAGGCTAGCACTCCGAGCAGGACTTCGCCTCTGAACTTTGTCAAAGTCGAACGATGCGAAAGTTGCAACGGTGTGAAAACCGTTTGACATCATTTTCATTCGTAAATCAAGTCCTTTGTTTTTTTTTCGATTCAAGTGTTATCCAAATTTTCATTCCAAATTACAAGTTTAGACCGTCCAACAAATTAACCTATAAAATTGTTTCTATAGACTATTCTCACGCATTTATATGTGCCAAAACCGTTTGACATCATTTTCATTCGTAAATCAAGTCCTTTGTTTTTTTTTCGATTCAAGTGTTATCCAAATTTTCATTCCAAATTACAAGTTTAGACCGTCCAACAAATTAACCTATAAAATTGTTTCTATAGACTATTCTCACGCATTTATATGTGCCAAAACCGTTTGACATCATTTTCATTCGTAAATCAAGTCCTTTGTTTTTTTTTCGATTCAAGTGTTATCCAAATTTTCATTCCAAATTCCAATTTTAGACTGTCCAACAAATTAACCTATAAAATCGTTTCTATGGTCTATTCTCACGCATTTATATGTGCCAAAGGCGAACTAAATCGTTCAACACGATCCTCAGGTTTTTAAAAATTCGACTTTCAAGTTGAATCTCTAAACAATTGGGTATACATTGCGTTAAAAATAATGGTATCGATATTTTTACGAGTCGATCGTAACGATCGTTATGATCTTGCTAACCTATAATCTATTCTCACGCATTTATATGTGCCAAAGGCAAACTAAATAGTAGAACGTGATCCTCGGGTTTTTAAAAATACGACTTTCAAGTTGAATCTCTAAACAATTGGGTATACAGGGTGTCCCAGGTTTTAATGTTCAAACGTTGTCAGTGTATTCTATGGCACGAAGTAAGAAAAAAATGTTATGTAAACATAGGTCATATAGAGCTTTATTATGAAGTTATAACAAAAATTCAGGATAGGAATAGTAATCAACTTGCTGTTACTGCGAGCATTGGCTTGAATAGATCAGGACATGCCGTGTGTTTATGTAAGCTGTGTTTATTAACACATTTCGAAATGCCCACCGTTATTGACAATACATGATTGACATCGATCGAAGATTTTTTCTTTTTTTTCTTTTTGGTTGATTACTATCCTATTCTGAATTTTCGTTATAACTTCTTAACCCCTTAATGCACAGCTTTTTTGAAAAAGGTCGGCCAAAAAAAATCAATTTTTTGTAATGTAAAAAAACACAATTTAGAACGTTGTCTTGGCAAGAAAATTACAAAAATACAAAAATAATCAAAATTTTTATTGCAATTTTGGATTTTGATAACATTACAGAAAATAGTCGAATATTGTAATATTACACGCACACACACACACACACACATCGACTTTTCTTATCTTTCTTTTTGAATTCCCATTTTAGAATAAACATTATTATCAGTAAAAATATTTATTTATACTTTTAAAACAAATAATAACAATACTAGTATATGTAATATTTATTATTATATTTATATATATTTATATATTTATATATATTATATTTTAGTAAAATATATATTGAAAAATGAGCGAATCAGAATCTGAATATGAATACGCTGTCGGAAAGCGGCTCGCAAGGAAGAAAAAGGATATATTTTATACTTGAATAAGTAAGTAAGTGTTATAGTTTACAATCCCATGTAAATGATAAATATCAATAAAACGATTGCTTTTTTTTGCTTTCACATTGTTATTTTCAATTCTCGATCGCATTCGAGTGTGAAAAATTATAGCAACATAAAGTACAACGCCGCTCGAATTATCTCGAGTGTGCACAGTTCGGCCAGATTAGCGCGCTCGAGTTAACTCGAGCGTGCACGTTAAGGGGTTAACAAAGCTCTATATGACCTATGTTTACATAACATTTTTTTTTTGCTTTGTGCCATAGAATATACTGTCAAAGTTTGAACATTAAAACCTGGGACACCCTGTATACTGCGCTAAAAATAATGGTATCGATTTTTTCACGAGACTCGATATTTTCGGCCACAAAGAACATCGTTAAATCTTTGTCGCTGGAAACAATACTCGACCGGTCACAAATACTCGCATTTTTCAGTCTTCTTTTTCGAAGTTCTTTTTTTTTCAGTGCCACCGTGTGGCTCCCGGTTGAATTCCAGCCGAGTCAGCACTATCGGATGACTATGATTTACGTTTAAACACATATTTAGGCATCGAATTAACCGCGTGCTGTTATTAGGCGACCGCAGTTTACAACGCCGTAGAATTTCGCCGGGTATCATTGAGTGGCGTGTCTATCGTGAAAAAATAGCATTTATTATGATTGCCGGCAACCGTCGCACAGTAAACTCCTTCGGCATTCACCCCGGATCTTATTACTGTAATTTTCTCGGCGAGATTTTCGGTTCCGGTTAATGTTGTCCCTCGAACTTTCAATTAATGTTTAATGACAGCGTGCATCCGCGCACACGGCGAACGTGCAAGTTGTGCGGCGGGATTGTTGTTCGTTTCGAGCTTGCCATTAAATGCACAGCACGTCCGCCGTCGGAACGAAAGTCCATGTAGAGACATCTGCCTGTTACGTTCTGCGACTTTCTCTCTCGCGGATAGCATTGTAGAAATCTAGGAATTCCTTGCTGCTGGAATGCCGTGGCATCGAGGATCGAAACACGATCTTATATCGGATAAAGATCGATCTTCTTTTTATGTAAGAACTCGTTTCTATTGGGTTGCGGGATAAGTTCGTAGCGTTTGTTATATTTTCTTTTATTTTACAGCGATTGTATGCTGTTCGACAAAGTAATAGTATAATAATATAATATAATAATATAGTATAATAATATAATAATAGTATAATATTCATTCGATAGAGCTCTTTCTGCTCTACAAAACTGTGCTAATCGTCTTTTTGAGTAATTCAATTTTTTATTACTTTTGAGGCTTAGAAATGGAATATCCATAAGTTATATATTATTATTATTATTATTATTATTATTATTATTATATATATTATATATATTATATTTATTATTATATTATATATATTATACTATAAAAAGCAACATTTTCGACACCTCTTCTTCGCTTTTCATCGAGGCGAAAAAGCTACTGAAGCAGCTCGGGACATTTGCAACGTATACGGAGAAAGTGTCATAGGCGCGAAAACGAAAACTTCACGAAACATCATATTTCTATATTTCTATATTAGAAATAATAGAAAATAGAAATGTACAAATTTTACAAAATGTTACAAATTTTGTTTTAAACACCGGTACAAATGTTGAAGTTGTTGCACCGCTATTCTGAAAATGAAATTGACATTTTAACAATAATTTCTCTTGAATAAATCATGAACGGGGCTTGAATTGATCTGTAATTACACCGTAAACTCTTAAAAATATAAACGATACAGTAAACTTTATACACTTACGCAATTATTTCTCTTCAAGTTGACTTCAAGTCAACATTTACATTTTGACACTTTAATTCCATCATAAAAGTTCAGTTTTAACAGTTGCTTTGTATCTGATCGATACGAATATTCGTAGGCGAGTCTACAGCACGGAAATGATTTGCAAAGTTCAAAAATGACGATTTTGACGTCGACGACACGCCCCGCGGCGGAAGACCTTCCGAATTCGAATTTAACCCAGGCTCCCAATTTTTCGGCAAATCCCATTGAACGAAGATGATTGAGAATCGTTTTATGATCGCAGTTCATTCTTTCGGCCAATTCACGACTTGTTCAGTGACCGTCCTCCTTCGAAAGTGCTTTGAGACGCTCTTCGTCGAATTCGGAAGGTCTTCCGCTGCGGGGCGTGTCGTCGACGTCAAAATCGTCATTTTTTAACTTCGCAAACCATTT